ACTTTTTTCCTCCCCATTAACGAAATAAAATTCTGTTCCAAAAAGTTGCAACATCGTATTGTTAATAAACCAAAAAACAATGTTTCATAAAAAGTACCAAAAATAGGTAAAATGTTCACCCCTTAAACGTCCGAATATCCAAAAAGTACTAAATTCATATTTTTATTTGTTCGTCAAGTTATGAAGGATTCAAAAATATTTTTTTAATGTTCTCTTGTTTAAAAGATACATGGGGTGCAAAAGAAGTACCAAATTACAGTTTTACCCGTTTATTCCCCAAAGGGGCCGAATTTGAAAAAATTACCGGACACCTGTCCGCTTTTTTTAATGAACGACATAAGCTTTAACTGTTTTTGTAACTTTTCTAGTTTAGGAGATTTGAGGTTACCGAATTTACGTTTTTACCCTTTTTTAACCCCCAAAAAAATCGAATTTCCAAAAATCCCGTCTTATTGGATACATTTGGTGGGAGACTAACATCCTGCCCAAATTTCAGCTCTTTAGCTTCAACCGTTTAGGCTCTACGATGATGAATCAGTCAGTCAGTCAGTAACGTTAGAATTTTATATACGTATGTATATAGATTTCGTGCATTGATGTGTGTAAAATGGCAGAAGATCCAATAAAGAATTTGCAAAAATTGGCGCGAAAACATACAACTGCGCGCAAAAAATTTCAGAATTTTTCCTTCAAACAGATTTTGTTTGATGTCCCATTTTAAAATACATTGGTTTGACGACGTAGGAAACTCTGGTTTGTCAAACAGCAATGTATTTTTCGTATCTCGTGTTTGCTACAAACATAAAGTGTTTGAAGTAAAAGCAGCGACTCGAATTATTTGCACAAATTCTTAAACACTGCATTATCAACCTACTGTCTTACCAATTTTCGGCGTACCTTACTTTGTAGACTTCTATTCCACCCTCTGGTAGATCTGTGTGCAATAAATTCAAAACATAACCTTAATAACTCTTTAACTTACTCTAAATATGCAAATTTTATTAAAATCTCACAAAGAAAATTATCCCATTTATTTCCCTTTTTGGTAAAAATTTTCCCACTTCAACCATAACTTTAACTCTCCACTATATATTACAAAATTTCCAGCGATTAACAACCTAAATCGCTAGATTTCTCTTGAAAAATCTCTCTACATGTCACAATAGTAAAATGCAACTCTGTTGTTAACAAACATTTGTTTTGATTTTTTGGCGCGCTAATACAACAAAATATAAGCGTGCCATATTTTGTGTGTGTTTTTTTTGGTGGTGGAATGCAGATGCAATTTTTCTAAATAAAATTAAAGATTAATAAAACATTACTAAATAAAAAGCCGAGCATTTAACAACAGCGGCAAGCTTAAACTAAAATATAAAACAAATATTTTTTATATACTGTGTTAATTTAAATAAAAGTAAAACGCAAAATGGCAAGACGTGACTATGCCCAAGATAAAGGTAAACAACAGACATTGAAAGAAATACTTTTATTTGTGGATAAAGATAATTTAAATATATTTTTTGTTTTGCTTAAACAGAGGCCATCAAAAGTTTCCTTAGTGAATTCTGCAAACAAGATGATGAGGGTAAAAAACATTTCATCTATGGTCAGCAATTGGTGAAGCTAGCTCACCGTGAGCAAGTTTTGTTGACTGTTGATCTAGATCATTTGGCGGAATTTAATGAGGGTTTAGCCGATGCTGTTGTTAATAATAGTCGCCGTTATGCCACTATGTTTAGTGATGTTATAGCGGAAATGTTGCCCAATTACAAGGAACATGAAGTACATGCCAAAGATGCCTTGGATGTGTACATAGAACATCGTTTGTTAATGGAAACACGCACTAGAAATCCCATGGAACAGCATGATCAGAGAAATCAATTCCCACCAGAGTTAATGAAAAGATTGTAAGTGTTTTTTGTGAAAAATAGAGAAATTTGTCAATAGTAACTAACTTCCCTTACAGTGAAGTGGGTTTTAAGCCTCAGTCCCATGTTAAAGCCAGTTCTATACGTGAAATTAAGGCGGAGCATATTGGTAAATTAGTGACAGTGCGTGGTATTGTTACCCGTTGTACCGAAGTCAAACCCATGATGGTAGTGGCCACTTATACTTGCGATCGTTGTGGTTCTGAAACCTATCAACCCGTTAGTTCTTTGTCTTTTACACCCGTCTCAGATTGTCCTTCAGATGATTGTCGTGTCAATAAGGCGGGCGGACGTCTTTATCTACAGACCCGTGGTTCGAAATTTGTTAAATTTCAAGAAGTTAAAATTCAAGAACACAGCGATCAAGTTCCTGTGGGTCATATACCGCGTACCATGACCATTATGTGTCGTGGTGAGGTCACACGTCAAGCACAGCCCGGTGATCATGTCCTTATATCGGGTGTTTATTTGCCTTTAATACGCAGTGGTTTCCAACAGATGGTACAGGGTTTGTTGTCGGAAACCTTTTTACAAGCTCATGTAAGTTTTAGTAAATGTCTGTTTTTATTCAAAATTGTTTAATAATTTCTTTCTATTAGCGCATTATTTGCATTAACAAAAATGATGAAATCTCCGATAAAGATTCTGAATTAACACCCGAGGAACTAAGCGAATTGGCTCAAGATGATTTCTATGAACGTTTGGCCACCAGTTTGGCTCCCGAAATCTATGGACATTTAGATGTTAAAAAGGCTATGCTTCTACTGTTGGTGGGTGGTGTTGATAAGCGTCCTGATGGCATGAAAATTCGTGGTAATATAAATATTTGTCTTATGGGTGATCCTGGTGTAGCCAAATCTCAATTGTTGGGCTATATCAGTCGTTTGGCTTTACGTTCCCAATACACCACCGGTAGAGGTTCTTCGGGTGTTGGTTTGACGGCTGCTGTTATGAAGGATCCTCTAACGGGTGAAATGACTTTGGAGGGTGGCGCTTTGGTATTGGCTGATCAAGGTGTTTGCTGTATTGATGAATTTGACAAAATGGCTGATGCTGATCGTACCGCTATACACGAAGTTATGGAACAGCAAACAATATCCATTGCTAAGGCCGGTATTATGACTACCTTAAATGCTAGAGTATCGATTTTGGCGGCTGCCAATCCTGCCTTTGGTCGTTATAATCCTAGACGTACCGTGGAACAAAATATTCAACTACCAGCTGCCTTACTGTCACGTTTTGATCTTTTGTGGTTGATTCAAGATAAACCAGATCGTGAAAATGATTTACGTTTAGCCAAACATATCACCTATGTACACAGTCATTCCAAACAGCCACCCACCCGTGTTAAGGCTCTCGATATGAATCTTATGCGTCGTTATATTAATCTTTGCAAACGTAAAAATCCCACCATTCCCGATGAATTGACTGATTACATTGTTGGCGCCTATGTGGAATTGAGACGTGAGGCTCGCAATCAAAAGGATATGACCTTTACTTCGGCCCGTAATCTTTTGGGTATTTTACGTTTATCCACCGCTTTGGCACGTTTGCGTTTATCGGATAAAGTAGAAAAAGATGATGTAGCAGAAGCCTTGCGTCTTTTGGAAATGTCTAAAGATTCTCTCAATCAAATACATGAACATCAAAAGGGACAGTAAGTATTACTTGGGTTTTAAATATTCCTATAAGTTTTTTTAAATATTAATTATTTACAGCATTCCCAACACTTCCGATAAAATCTTTGCTGTGGTCCGTGAATTGGCCGGCTCTAGTAATACCGTCAAAATTGCCGACGTTATGGATCGTTGTACTACCAAGGGATTCAAACCCGATCAAGTGGATAAATGTATTGAAGACTATGAAGAACTTAATGTGTGGCAAGTTAATATGGCTCGTACAAAAATTACTTTTATGTAAAATAATCTTCAAATATTGATTGATGGAGTTAAGACAAAGAAAAAGCCTTCTTTTAATGTTTTTTTATTATTTGAATAAAAATTTATCTGTTTAAGTAATTGATTGTTGTTTTTTCCAGCATGTGAGCTGATAAGAAAAAAGAACAAAATTTCATATTTTTTATAATAAATTTAATGTTTACTTAAAAAAATGTTTTTATTTAACTTTATTAATAAAATTGTATGCAAATTAGATAATTTAGTTTCCGCATTATAGTCTAGACTACTGAATATAGTATGGACTATAGAGTTGACTATAGTGTGGTCAATAGAGTATACTTTTGTCTGGCCTGTAGAGTAGACTATAGTCTGGACTATAGAGTAGTCTTTAGTCTGCACTATAGAGTAGACTATAATCTGGACTATAGAGTAGACTATAGTCTGGACTATAGAGTAGACTATAGTCTGGACTATAGAGTAGACTATAGTCTGGACTATAGAGTAGACTATAGTCTGGACTATAGAGTAGACTATAGTCTGGACTATAGAGTAGACTATAGTCTGGACTATAGAGTAGACTATAGTCTGGACTATAGAGTAGACTATAGTCTGGACTATAGAGTAGACTATAGTCTGGACTATAGAGTAGACTATAGTCTGGACTATAGAGTAGACTATAGTCTGGACTATAGAGTAGACTATAGTCTGGACTATAGAGTAGACTATAGTCTGGACTATAGAGTAGACTATAGTCTGGACTATAGAGTAGACTATAGTCTTGACTATAGAGTAGACTATAGTATGGACTATAGAGTAGACTATAGTCTGGACTATAGAGTAGACTATATATAGTCTGGACTATGAAGTAGTCTTTAGTCTGCACTATAGAGTAGACTATAATCTGGACTATAGAGTAGACTATAGTCTGAAGTATAGAGTAGACTATCGTCTGGACTGTGGACTATATAGATTAGACTATAGTCTGGACTATAGAGTAGACTATAGTCTGGACTATAGAGTAGACTATAGTCTGGACTATAGAGTAGACTATAATCTGGACTATAGAGTAGGCTATAGTCTGGACTATAGAGTAGACTATAGTCTGGACTATGAAGTAGTCTTTAGTCTGCACTATAGAGTAGACTATAATCTGGACTATAGAGTAGACTATAGTCTGGAGTATAGAGTAGACTATAGTCTGGAGTATAGAGTAGACTATAGTCTGGAGTTTGGAGTAAACTATAGTCTGGACTGTAGAGTAGACTATAGTCCATACTATAGACTTAAATATATGTATTCAGCATTATAGACTGTATAGTATACTCTACAGACTGTACTAAAAACCAGAATAGACAAGAATTTAGTCTGGACTACGGACAAGACTTTAGTCTGGACTATGCATTTGACTATAGTCTTGAAATTTTCTAAAATTACACGTATTTTAAAATTTCTCTCCCATTGGTTTAATAGTGATGTTATGAACCTAAAAAAGTAATAAAATCAGAAATTCAATAAAACCTTTAAAACCCTATCTTCCCCTAAACAATTACCTGTACATTGGGAGGTGTACTCAAAGCCCACAAAACAGCATCGGCCACATCCGAAGATTTTAACATAGGCAGCATAGCTTTAACCACCTTTAATATATCCACCGGTAAAATATCCGTATCTACTATGCCCGGGCTAATGGTCTAGAAAATTCATTATGATTAGATTTAATTTTATGTAAATAAATTCTGTTGCGAAGAAAACCTACAGTTACTCTAACTTGTGTCTTATGACGTTGAAACTCTTGACGATAGATTTCATTCATAGCTTTCAAAGCAAATTTAGTGGCTGGATAAATATTAAGTGAAGGCAAATCTGGACCCAAATTTGGCACCTGATGACCAGCAATACTATTGACAATAACAATATGACCCTGGCCATTCTTTTGCGTGCACATGGAATGAAAAGCTTCGCGGGTACAGAATACCGTACCCAAAAGATTTGTATCCAGAGTCTGTTTTATTTCTTTAGTGTTCTTACGTTGTGACAACTCAGTGGTGGCTATAATCCCGGCATTATTTATAAGAACATCACAGCCTCCTAGGTGTTTTTGTGTCCAATTAAAGGCTTGAGATACTTGATCCTCTTGGGTTACATCACAGCGTATGGCATGTAGATTATTGCGTAAATTTTCGGGTAATTCCTCTTTTAGTTTTAATATAAGTTCTTGACGTCGAGCTAAGCCTACTACTAGCATACCAGATGTTACTAGAGCCTTGCAACAGGCTGCACCTATACCGGCACTAGCACCACTGATTACAGCTACTTTATTCGACCAACGTTCCATAGTAAATGAAATGACAGACATGTTTTCTTCAAAGCAAATTAACGAAAAGAAGCCCCAAAAGTGCAAAAGGTAGAAAAAAGGTCAAAGAAAGTGAACAATTAAAGTGGAACTTTTGTGCAGGTGTAGCAATACTAGGGTGCCCAAAAAATCATAATTGTTAGGAAATTTTTTTAAGACCTTTTTAGTGTGATCTTTGTTTACATAGTAAGGGCGAGTTTGGTAAATTGAATAGTTTTAAAAGTCATATATTCGAAATTTTCGAAAAATTTTTACAATTACCATTCCATTCTAAAATAAAAAATTAATTTTATATTATTAATAAATATTTATTTTGTTAGTATAACAACAAATTAACTTATAACTTAAACTAATAAAAACTTCTTATTTATCATGATCCAATTTCATTCAATTCCAACGGTGGCGTATCGATTATTGTCGGCGACACCGTAAAATATAGTATAAGTGAATAGATATGGCCAGGTATGAAGATAAATGTTGAATAGAAAATAAAACATAACGACGCCACTATCAAACAATCTGGAATAAAAAAAGTAAAAAAATAGATAATAAATCCGAAAAGAAAAAATAATTGGAATATGAATCAGCTATTTAGCATTTCGAAGGTGTAAAATTCAATGACGTGATTTGTGATAATTACTAGGGACTTTTGCCCTTACAACTAAAAGAATTTGAGTCATTCTTATCAAGTTGAAAAGGGGAATGATTAGCTCTGTTATCGCAGTGTGTTAGGATTTACTATATAAAATTTAGTTGAGAGCTTTTGAGAATAGTTAAACTTTTGAGGAATTTAAAAATTCGAATAGTTGAAAATCTATTCTGCAAATAGTAGTAAATAGACTATAAAACCTAATCCATAGGCTAGTTATTAGACCTGTTTATTGACTGATCTTTGAACTAATCCATAAATTAGTCAACAAAAAACAAAAAAAATAGTACTTTTTTAGGTTTTAAAGCACTAAACTAAATTTCCGCTAGACTTGACTATAGACTAGACAATAGACTAGACTATAGACTTGACTATAGACTTGACTATAGACTTGACTATAGACTAGACTATATACTAGACTATAGACTAGGCTATAGACTAGACTATAGACTATAATATAGACTAAACTATATACTAGACTATAGACTTGACTATAGACTAGAATATAGACTAGATATAGACTAAACTATAGACTAGACAAGACTATAGACCAGACTATAGACAAGACTATAGACTAGACTATAGACCAGACTATAGACTAGTCTATAGACTAGACTATAGACTAGACTATAGGCTAGACTATAGACTAGACTATAGACTAGACCAGACTATAGACTAGTATATAGACTAGTCTATAGACTAGACTATAGACTAGACTATAGACTAGACTATAGACTAGACTATAGACTAGACTATAGACTAGACTATAGACTAGACTATAAACTAGACTATAGACTAGACTATAGACTAGACTATAGACTAGACTATAGACTAGACTATAGACTAGACTATAGACTAGACTATAGACTAGACTATAGACTAGACTATAGACTAGACTATAGACTAGACTATAGACTAGACTATAGACTAGACTATAGACTAGACTATAGACTAGACTATAGACTAGACTATAGACTAGACTATAGACTAGACTATAGACTAGACTATAGACTAGACTATAGACTAGACTATAGACTAGACTATAGACTAGACTATAGACTAGACTATAGACTAGACTATAGACTAGACTATAGACTAGACTATAGACTAGACTATAGACTAGACTATAGACTAGACTATAGACTAGACTACTAGACTAGACTAGACGATAGACTAGACTAGACTATAGACTAGACTATAGACTAGACTATAGACTAGACTATAGACTAGACTATAGACTAGACTATAGACTAGACTATAGACTAGACTATAGACTAGACTATAGACTAGACTATAGACTAGACTATAGACTAGACTATAGACTAGACTATAGACTAGACTATAGACTAGACTATAGACAAGACTATAGACTAGACTTCAGACTAGACTATAGACTAGACTATAGACTAGACTATAGACTAGACTATAGAGTAGACTATAGACTAGACTATAGACTAGACTATAGACTAGACTATAGACTAGACTATAGACTAAGACTATAGACTAGACTATAGACTAGACTATAGACTAGACTATAGACTAGACTATAGACTAGACTAGAGACATAGACTATAGACTAGACTATAGACTAGACTATAGACTAGACTATAGACTAGACTATAGACTAGACTATAGACTAGACTATAGACTAGACTATAGACTAGACTATAGACTAGACTATAGACTAGACTATAGACTAGACTATAGACTAGACTATAGACTAGACTATAGACTAGACTATGACTAGACTATAGACTAGACTATAGACTAGACTATAGACTAGACTATAGACTAGACTATAGACTAGACTATAGACTAGACTATAGACTAGACTATAGACTAGACTATAGACTAGACTATAGACTAGACTATAGACTAGACTATAGACTAGACTATAGACTAGACTATAGACTATACTATAGACTAGACTATAGACTAGACTATAGACTAGACTATAGACTACTAGACTATAGACTAGACTAGACGACTATAGACTAGACTATAGACTAGACTAGACTATAGACTAGACTATAGACTAGACTAATAGACTAGACTATAGACTAGACTAGACTAGACTATAGACTAGACTATAGACTAGACTATAGACTAGACTATAGACTAGACTATAGACTAGACTATAGACTAGACTATAAACTAGACTATAAACTAGACTATAGACTAGACTATAAACTAAACTATAGACTAGACTATAGACTAGACTATAAACTAGACTACACTAAACTATAAACCAGACTAGACTATAGACTAGACTATAAACTAGACTATTTAATTCACTAACCCCGGAAAATGAATTTGTTGTTAGTAACTCTTTCTAGAACTTTTATAAGTTAGTAACTCTTTTTAGAAATCGTTAAAACCTAGATCGTTATATGATTAATCATAGATCCCATATAGGTTCCACTTCGGAAAATTAATTAAACGGGGCATAATTTAACACGAATTGCTCCCATATTAAGTCCAATTCCGTAAATCACTTAATCTTTAACAACTCATGAGTTAATAATGGTATCGGGATAAAATTCTGTGCGAATGTATTTTGTATGTAAACAAATCATTCTGCTACACATTTTTCAGATTAAAAGTAATTTCATTAAAATCTCATAAAACATAATGAATATTTAATTATCTTTCAATAGAAATTTCCACTCGTTAATGTCACACTTATTTTGTGTGCAAATATTTTTGCGTAACACGATCATATCTAAACTCTAGAAACTTTGCACATTAACTATTTTCCGGTTCTTTTTCATATACTCACTTAAAAATACTTTTTCCCAAGGTTCACACATGGAAAGATAAGTATTCAATTCGTAGAGCATATGCAACCATTTGATATAGCGTACGAAACGGTGGTAAGATTCTTTAATTTTGTGAAACATTCTGTAAAAGTTTTAAATCAAAACAGAAATATACACAAAAAAAGAGTAATACTGGATTTTGGTATTATTATTGCACTAATAAATCTAATAAATAATAAAATTTTATTTTAACCGTTAAATACGATATTGCAAGTTAATTGTTAAAAAATCATTACTAAACTAAAATAATAAATTTTTTCCCCTACATATGGGTTGCTTAGTTATTTATTCTTATCAATTATTGGTTTATGATGATAAACGAAAATAAAAGTAATAAATTGAAACATAAAATAACAACTCACCTATTTTGGTTTTGTTTTGATTCGATTCCCTAGAGAGGGAGAAATTACCAAGTAATTTTCGGTTAAATGTGTTAACTACAATAACAACATGCAACATTATTAGTTATAACAGGTAGGCTTCTGTTATCACTGTCATCCATTATTAAACGTTGGTTCATACACACCTGCATTATCCATTTAAATAGTAACATTAACGTTGTTGTTTTTTTTTTAGTCCAGTGTATTTTTATTAGTATAACTTTTGTTGTTCTTTGTAAGGACATAAGAATGTTTTTTTTTATATTTTTACGGGGGATAATTAAACTTATGTTTGTTTTTTCTTTTATACTAATTTTTTTATATATATTTTAAGGTTATAAATACAAAAAATTGTTTTTTTTAGACTTAATATTCTTATTTAGTAAAATACACTGTGTTGTTGTTGTTTTATGGTTGTTGGTTGATTTTATTTAGTTTATTTACTAGTAAACGACACTTGCTTTTTTTGTAAGAAGATATACAATCTTTTTTTGGGGGGCAATTTATTGGTTAATCGTAATAAAATACAATCTTTTACCAATAAAGCAAAAGCAAGTTAATTTTGTCGTTTTCTTTTTATTGTGTGATCAACAGAATGATTGCGGTTGTTTGGCTGATTAAATATGATTAATTAATTATATTTATAATTAGGACAAAGATGCTTAACTGCTATAAGTGGAACTACTCGAGTGCGGTTGTTTCTTCTTTGACCAAAAATTCAATAATTTCTTCATCAACTTCTTCGGTATCCAAACTATCTGTATCGAAATCTATAAAAAAAAGAAAAGGGAAAATTAAATTTATTGTGTGTTTAAATTATGAAATAAATGGGCTTAGCTGAATTGTATTTAAATTTCGCTGAATAAGATTTTGTAAACTTTATCTAGGAAGTTTAATTCAATTCTCAATTTACTTTATAATGCTGTAGCTAAATATAAAAATTGTTTAGCTGAATAGCAAAATTTAAGTCTTAAAAACTTTTGAAATGCTTTAAATTTAAATAAAACACTAAAAATTTAATTTTTTGTCTGCTGAATTGGAAAATATGACGAAATTAAGTTAAACATTGTTTTAATGTTTATATCAGCAAAAAAACTTAGCTGAATTGTAAATAATCTTTGCTGAATTAGTTTTTTTTTTAACTTGTTCTTTTGAATTCTTAGATTAATACATAATATTGCAGCTGAATAGCAAAATTCTTTAGCTGAATTGCGAAATTATAACCAAAAAGTTAAATATTTCTGAAAATCTACTTAAATTGTATAAAAAACTTTAGCTGAATTTTATTTTAAATAAGCTGAACCGAATTGTTTGTTTAGAAAAGCAGAATTTAGTTAAAATTAATGTTTTTAATAACAAGTTTATCTGAATTTTATTTAAAAATAGTTGAATTGTATTTATTAATATTTATCTATAAAATTTCTAATGATTATGTAGCTGAATATAATAATGTTTTAGCTGAATTGCAAAATTATAACCAAACTATTTTAATAACTCTAAGTTAAAGCAAAAATATTGGCTGAATTGGATTATTTGTTTAGAAAAGCTTTTATTTTATCAAAGCCATTCAAAATTGCAAAAATTTTTAGCTGAATTAAAAAAATTCCAGCTGAATTATAAAAATAAAGTTAATAATGTTTGCTGAATTGCTTTTCAAATTAGCTGAATAGAATTTTTAGTTCAAATAATCTAGCTGAATTGTATTTATAATATTTTTATATACAATTTCTAATGATTATGTAGCTGAATATAATAATACTTTAGCTGAATTGCAAAATTATATCAAAATATTTTGATAACTCTAAGTTAAAGCAAAAATGTTAGCTGAATTGGATTTTTTGTTTAGAAAAGCTTTTATTTTATCAAATCCATTAAAAAATTGCAAAAATTCTTAGCTGAATTAAAAAAATTACAGCTGAATTATAAAAATAAAGCAAAAAATGTTTGCTGAATTGCTTTTCAAATTAGCTGAATAGAATTTCTAGTTCAAAAATCGATTATTTTAGCAAAACTATTAAAAATTTTGAAAAATCGTTAGCTGAATTAAAATATTTCCAGCTGAATTGCATAAATATTTTAAATATAAGAATCAAATTACAATAATATTGCTATAAAAACAAAAAACCTTAGCTGAATTATATTATGAATTAGCTGAATAGCATATAATGCAAAAAATAATTCCTGTAATAAGTGGATTACATTAATTAATTTAAATTCTTAGTTTTTTATGAAAAACAAGCTCGAAAATTTCAATAAAAAAAATTAAAAAATATCACTTTTTATAAAATATAAAAAAAAAAAATTCACTTTATATAGAAAATTTTCAAAAATTTCCTTTTCTATTAAAAATTTTTTTAAAAATTCCTTTTTAGTGGAATTTAGTGAAAAAACAACTTTTTATAGACAGTTATCGAAAATTTAACCTTTTATAGAAAATAGATTTTTAAAAAATTTTACTTTATACTGAAAATATTTTAAAATTTCACTTTTAATGAAAATTTTAAAAATATCACTTTTTATAAAATATTTTAAAAAATTTTAAAAATATTAAAATATTTTATAGAAAATTTAAAAAAAAATATATACATATATTTTTATAGAAAATTTTCGATAACGTTAATTTTTTTATAGAAAATTGCCGGAAAGTTCACTTTTTGTAGAAAACTTGCGAAAACTTTTCTTTTTATAAAAAACTTTCTATTCATCAAATAAAAATGTATAAAAAAAACAAATAAAACTTACGATTTCTGAGCTGCATACGTCTTGCTTTCTGTTCCTTCCATTCGCTCTCACGCTTATTACGGTATTCCATAAATTGATTGCGCAATTGAGCACGTTTCTCCAACAATTCCTTGGAGGCACGAGTGACACGCATGCGATCCTTTTGTTCGAAAATGAAGTAGTATTTCTTCAAGTTCTTCTTAATATCCTTAATCTCCTCTTCGCTGAGTAGAGTGGGTGGACGTGGACGCCACAAGAACTGTACGAAGTTCTTGAGGATATTACGACGAATAATGCGACCTTGGAAGGTGTACATGTTGAAGCCAGTATCTTCTTTAACCTTCCATGAGGAAACGCCGGTAACAACATAACGACCAGTAGGGTCCCATTCGACTTCCGAGGCACGGAAATGATCGGGGGAAGCGGTAATGAGGAAGTTGTTGTTGGTATCAACAAATTCAAAGGTACCGGTGGTCAAATTGGCCATGACGATAAATTGTCCTCTGGGCGACCAGAAGAGATGAGTGCAGGATTTCTTTTCCAATTTCTTTACCAATGTAGGTTTGACACCATTGTTGACTTCGTAGAAACTGACATTAGAGTTGTTGGTTTCACCATGGATAATGGCGAATTTGTTGCCTACAGGTTCCCAAGCAAAGGCCAAAATCAATTCTCTGATTTCTACAGAATCTACTGGCACTTCCTTTTCGCGCATATGGAAGATTTCAAAATTGTAGAACATACCCAAGAATTTAACATCAGAATCCT